TTCACTTTCAAAGGGATTACTGTACAACTTTTATTCCTTGACATGTTTAGAGAATTCTTTTTTGGTTATTTGTTTCTAATAGGTCAGGATTGCTGAAGATAAAAGCGGGGGTGGTACAACGGGTGAGGGTGAGCTTTGTGTTAAAAGTCCTTCGTTGTTTAAGGAATACTGGAAACTTCCTCAGGTATTTCCTATTATCATCTGCAACTTTCTTGTAATCTAATGGAATAATCTCCCAGGCTCCACTCTCCAGTTTTTCTGTTATATTTTATCAAATATAGTCATTGCCTTAGAATCGTGAAAAAAATGCTTAATTGTTTTTGTACTAAAGTGTCTTTTTAGGATTTCCAGTTTTGCTGGAATTTAGTTCTCAGAGCTGCTTCTTTTCTGTTCTTGAATTTAGGGAAATGGTGCTCCCTTCCTTTTCTCTTTGTCAAGGACTAAGACATGTATTCAAAATTTGGGCTAGAGACATCCTAGAAGTGTTATGCAAATTATGCATTAAATTCAAGGACTTTTGCTAAACTCGTTAATTTCCTAAAAATAGGTAACCAAGGAATCGTTTACTGATGATGGGTTCTTCAAGACTGGGGATGCTTGTAGAGTGGATGAAGATGGATACTATGTCATTTTGGGACGTAAGGATATCTAGTTTTGTGTTGTTGATTTTATTTGTTTGTGATGAATTATGCCGACATTCCCTTTGTAATCTTCGTCATTTAACAAATCGGTGATAATGACATGCATTTAAGAACTTTCAGAACACTCAATGTTGCTCATCATATGATCCTTCTGGTTGTTACTGCCAATACATTATGCCTTACCTCCTGTTGGATATGGAATATGCTCGTTTGCTTTCTCTGTTTGGTTGAACTCCAGCAGTTTAGCTTCAAGTTTCATGTTCAGACCATGCCCTTTATGTATTCATGTGTAATTTTTCAGGTACAAGTGCTGATATAATGAAGGTTGGTGGATACAAATTGTCTGCCTTGGAAATTGAATCAGTACTTATACAGGTAAACTCGTCCTCTCTATATTCCTATTCCGAGTCATGAAACCCCTTTCTTTTTGTTTTAAATATTTGTTCTCTTATTTCCTTTCAAGGAAAACTGAAACAAAAGATCACCCTTAAAGCTCGCGCGCGCGGGGGATGATTAAACGATCATCAGCTGGCTAAATTTATTTTTTTGTGCAGCACCCTGATATAGCAGAATGCTGTGTGTTTGGCTTACCGGACAAGTATTATGGAGAAGCTGTATCTGCAATAGTGGTGCTGGAGTCGGGACGGAAAAGGAAACTAGAAGAGTCAAATTCTGCTTTCAGTTTGGAAGATCTTTGCAACTGGGCTAAAGACAAACTTGCTCCATACAAGGTAAAATAGTGCATTTCTATCTTTAATGAATTTGTTTTCTAATGCTGAATTACCAAATCACGCAATCTGGACCCCTCGATTCAATGCCATCTTGATTTCTGCCGAAACCGTCAACTGGAAGCTAAAGTGATCTTCCACCAAACCAAGTTTTTAAGAAGTTAGCAGGATAGAGTTTCTCTTAATTGTGTTCCCAATGAAACTTTCATCAGCAAGCCAAGCACACCACAGACTCCCTCTCTCTATTTCTTTATATGAACTAAAAATCAATATTAATGACCTCATTATCCCTCACATTGATCGACTGATGACGTCATTCTCCCTCTCATCGATCGATGACATCATTCTCCCTCTCATCGTTCGATGGGTGATTATCCTGACAGATCAATCCACTTCATATTTTGGATGAGCTCATTGCATTTTGGGAACCATGGCCTGAGCATTAACTAAAGAATAATAATCGATTGTGTCTTTTCCAGCTTCCAACACGATTAATGTTGTGGGATTCTCTTCCTCGTAATGCGATGGGAAAGGTGAGTTTCTTCTTTGACTTGCGTTCCAAGCGTCTCGTTTAACATTATCATTATGCCGGTTAACGTGCTACGCAAGAATCGCGATGAGTTTTTGTTTTTTTTTATTTGACTAAATTTCCAGGTGAATAAGAACGAGCTGAAGAGACAGTTGGGTGATGAAAAGTAGGCAATCTTTATTGTGAACACAATAATTACATATCGATTATCGGACTTGAAATAATTAAATTGAGACGAACTGATTAATTTTTATTCGATCGTTTCAATTTCCTAATCGTATTTTTATTTGTTCTCCGAATTGATTTTATTTTTGAAATTTTAAAATTGAGTTAACCAAATATACTATTAATTATCCCATTTTATGGTGTATTAGCATTGCAGTAAATAAAACATCCATGTTTTTAGAGAGAGAGTGAGTGAGAGAACTACATTGGAGGTTCTAATTCGATCACTAATTTATTTATAAAGTCAATTATTTAAATAGTGTTAATTAAGTTATTTACCATTCACATTTAATGGATAAGTAAATTTAGCAGTTTAAAAAATAGTACAATTATATATTAATTTTTTTATTATTTGTATATTTTATTAATTTGATTTTAATTTTAATTTTAATATAATTTATTGAATTTAATCCTTCAATAAATTTAAGATTTAGATTATAAATTTATATTATGATCTGAATTTTGTTATTGGATCTTTTAAATATAATTTTATTTTTAATATTTGTTTTATAAAAACCGGAGGTCTCGTTAGAAATCTCTTTCATATTTGTCAACCTATTAAAGAAGCGACTTAGATATATTAACAAATAGCGGAACGAATATAAGAGAATCTCATATATTAAAAGGGTTCTAGATTTCAGTACAGCCAAAGATGAAACAATGTTTTAAACATAAAAAAACAACCAAACTAAGGGTCTGTTTGTTTGGCTGTAGTTGGTTTTTCGGAAAACGAATTACTGGAATTTGAATTTTGAAAAATGAATTACATTTCTGAAAAATGAATTACATTTCTGAAAAATGAATTATATTTCTGGAAAACATTTTATGATGTTTGGAAGATGTTATTTAAACTTTTTTTCACTAGTTGAAGAGTTTTTTAAAAATTATTTATTACAAATATTGAATATAATAAATAATATTATTTATCATAAAACTTAATATTATTATTTTAAAATATTAAAATAATTTATTTATTATTAAATATTATTTTTATAATTTTATTAATAAAAATAAAATATTGGTATATTTTAGTGAAATAAAATATTATAAATTATATTAATTATTTATTAAAGTAATAGTGTTATATTATATTTTAAAAATATTAATTAGTATATTTTAAATATCTTTACTAAAATATTATTTAAATATATAAATAATATTATTCATTATTAAATAAATATAAAAAATTATTATATATTATTAAAATAAAAATATAATATCTTATATTATTATAATATAATTGATTATTTTATATAATATTATATTATTATAAATATTAATAAATATATTTTAAATATTTTAATAATTAATATTTTGATGAAAATGATATTAAAATATTTTATTAATATTAAATTCATAAAATAAAATTATTTTGAGTATTTTTGCTTTGAAGTGAAAAGCTCAGAAAATAACTTACGGAAAATGAATCCGTAAGTCATTTTACAGAAAACACAAAGGAAATTATGTTACTAGGAAAATGAATTATGTTCCGAAAAACGAATTAAGTGAAACAAACACAAGAAAATATTTTTCAAAAAATGAATTATACGAAATAAACACGAGATTTCGGGAAAAATCAATTCCGTAATTAGTTTTACGGCAAATAAACACACCCTAAAGCACCTATACCGCCTAAGCCGAAAAGAGTTACTGCATCACCCAATCCCTTTCTTTGCTAATTCATTCGCCAACGAGTTTGCACAACGCTGAGTGAGCCGCATGATAACAGTTCGATTCATAACCATCGTTATATATATAATTGTATAAATAATTATTAAATTAAAATTAAATTAATTGAATATAGGGTAAAGTACATGAATGGTTAGTGACTATAGGATATTATTTTATTAAGTCTACCGATTATTAAAAGTTACAAAATGATCTTTCGATTATAGAGTGTCTCTTTATTGAGTCCCTCGAATATCAAAAGTTACAAAATGGTCACCGACTATTCATTATGTTCCAAACTCGTCATTCTCTATTAAAAAATTGACGGTACTCTAAGCTGAACGTTAACTTGTTGGCTTTGATACGATAAAATCTAATCTCATAATCTCAAATGACTATAACATCTCATATTAATGTCCGGTTTGGACAACTGTTAATTTTTTAATGGAGAATGACGAGTTTAGAACACAATGAATTGTTGAGTGATTATTTTGTAACTTTTGATAATCGAGGAACTCAACAAAACAACAAAATAGTATCCTGTAATGGATGGATCACTATGTAAGTTACCTTGAATATATAAGCAACTAATATTACGTATCGCCTTCCATAAAGTTAAAATGGGACTAGTCAATTGCATTTTTGATGAACCGATGAATTTGAAATTCTAATTTAAAACTTATAGTAAAATTTATATTTAATAATTCTCAATAATTTTTTATAAATAAATTTAAATAAAAATATTTTTTAAATTATTGAATAATAATTCAAATAGGATGACTAAAAATACGTTTTTGTAGCCTTATATATACGTTTTTAAACATCGCTAAAAACTATCATGACACTTGCAAATCATCCTAAAGTATGAGTCTATAGTAGCATTTGTTAAAAAAACGCCACTAAAGTGCCTTTGTTTAAAAACACTGTTTAATGTTACCATTTTGTGACGTTTTAATTGTAAACGCTGCTATATATATATATAATTAATGGCATTTATGTTCCAAATGCCACTATAAACACCGACCTGTTTTCTCTATTGATAACACAGATGCTTTCAAAGTTTGAATGAATATATAACTTATATTTCACTTATCAAATGTCAATGAAGCTAAAGAAAATGACTATTTTATATAACAATTTTAAAAAATATATCCTTAAAATACAACTGATTCCTATAATTCATAACAAAAATAAGATGAAAAAAAAACCCTATAAATTATCATGTTTTTGTAAGCATGGTACATCTGGTTCAACACTTCCATTTTTAAAGCCATGAGCATTGAGGCATGAGGTGTGGGCATTGTCGTCTTTATAGCTCAAACTGATGTCTTTCATGATTATATTTTTGCATGGGATGGACTCACTGCATGAAAGTTCAACTGCTATTTTCCTACTTGATGTCCCATGGATGTCTTTATACGTAACATTGCTAATCTCCACATTCGATGTCTGCAAATAATCATTAAAAATTAAATTTCTTGTAAACCTAGAACCGAATAATGTGATATTGATCACCAAAAAATCACTTACTTGATTATTGCAATGTTTATGAGGACAATAATATTGGTCGATAACAATAGGACGAGTTGAAGCGTGAGAGATTATTTGTTCAAATATGATATTTCTTGCATGTCCATGTCCTCCCTAAACACACAATTAACATGAATTATTAGTTATATAATTTTAGAGAAAATATTGAAATAATTATATATATATATGCCACGTCTTTATTTTGACTCCATTAGTTGTTTTATGAAAAGTAACATTCTTTACATGAACATATTCAACCTCATCGGTTCTTCCATTAATCCCAAGACTTCCAATGCTTCATATCATAAAGAAAAATTAGAAATTAAAATTAGTACAAGTTCAATTTCATCAAGAAAAGAAAGATAATTGCAAAGGAAACATGAAACTTCTTACCTAATTCCATGACCCGGACCACATTCGATTTTAGTGATATTAATATATTTAGAACCATTTCCAATTGAGATACAATCATCACCTGCATTAATAGACAAAATAATAGCATTAATATATATATATATATATATATATATATATATAATGAAATAAAAATGAATAAATAAATAAGTAAACAGACAAACCAGTTTGAATGTTGGAGTTGTGAATAGAAACATTAGTGGAATGTTGAATATGAATGCCATCGGTGTTGGGACTTGTCTTAGGGGCTGTGATAGTAAGCTTAGTAGCATGAACCAAAGTATACCTTTCAAGTGCAATGTGCACCTGTGGACTGTCTTCAAAGGTTAATCCATTAATCTTTACATTATTGGAGTCTGCAATCACCAAACCCTAACAACAAACCCACATGATTTTCATGCAACCATAGATGATATATCTGCCATAAATCATTTTTTAAAACTTGGTATTCTAACACTTACTGTGGGTTTTCGGCTGGGGCAGTTCTTATTCTCATCTTTGCAAGAAATAGTCCACCATTTAGAACCCTGGCCATTGATGATACCATATCCTTGAATGGAGAGACCATCGAACTTTCTGAAGCTAATCCAATGATCACAATCTGGTATGCATTGCCATGCAGAAGGTTTGCTTGGGGCTACGATGTTGCCATCAATCTGCAGCACAAAATTTTCTCAAAAACTAAATAATAAGAAACAGATTGGAAATATGAACCGAGAGAAAGATAGGAATACCTGGAAAGTAATGTTATTGGAATTGCAATATTTGGCACTGAAAGTTAAGGGTTGCAGCATAAACGTTTTTCCTTGAGGTACATGTACCATTGGTGACGAAGCTGAGGATTCGCAAGCAGCATCCCATGCTTGCATAAAGCTCTAAAATTTATACAAAGACACAAGTAGTTTATAATAAGATTGATGGTGTCAGTGTCATATATATAAACATAAAAAGAAAAACGAAAAAAAAAAGAAACCTGAGAATCATCATAGTTCCATCTCCGGTAGCTCCAAAGTCGACAACGTTAAATATATGGACATCAATCTTCTTCTTCTTCGACTTGGAGTGTCGAGAAGATTCAGTCAATATGGCAGATTGAATCAAAAGAACAAACAAGAGGATTTTCAAAGTTGAAGCCATCTTCTTCATCAACTCTTTCCGAAGTACGTAGAATAGGATAGAAGGTAGAATGGTAGATTGATATGTATATACATATACAGAGAGACTGCGTATATATACTCAATTATTTTTCTAATTCGACAATGAAAAAGAGTTCCCTTTTGCAAGGAGTTTGAATATATTTATTATTATTATTATTATTTAGTAATTATAATCGACATCAAAGAATATATATATATATATATATATATGTCTTTTTTATGGTTTAGTAATTATGAGCGAGACTAGAGGAATGAAGTTTAGTAAAAGTAGGAAATGTAATTATATGCAATATAAATTGTTATTATAATCCAACAATACAGTGGAATTCCAATTTTTAAGTGTTTGGATATATTTATTATTATATATATATATATATTTATTTTAGATGAGTCTACAGCGAACATATTATTAGAGTGCTACACAAAAACACATCATTAATTAAATTATATTTATTATTGCTCTTAGTATGTAATGAATCTAGGCCTCTTACATGAAATTCACGGCATTTAACTACTAAGTTAAGCTAGTCATTTAAGTTAATATTACTACATCACTACAAGAAAATAGTTTTCAAGTGCCGATAAAAACACTACTGGCGCTAGTAAGATTGCAGCAAGAAGCGTCGCTAAAACGAACACCACAAAAGTTAACGGCGTTTGTGAACCTAAAACACCGCAAAAGGTTGAGTTATATAGCGGCGTTTTTTCTTTCAAACGCCGTTAATTATCTTGTCTTTAGTGGCATTTTTTTGCCACAAACGCCTCTAATTATCTAATCTTTAAGCCACAAACACCTCTAATTATCTAATCTTTAACTTATATCATAGTAACTTAGTTTAATGGTTGACTGATTTGTTTTTCATGTAAGATACCCAAGTTCAATTCATACTAGAAGCAAGAATTATTTCAATCTTTTTATCCCCATAACACAACCTAAATGATTGAATAAAATTAATTAAAAAATATTGACGAATAAAAAAGATGATATGATAATTAAAAAAATTGATATATCATGTCACGTAAGTATTATCATTAATGTTTTTAAAAGAAATTATAGTTTAGATACTAAAATAAAATAAAAGTGATAATTTAGGTATAAAGCGTATAGACAATTTAACTAATAGTATATTTCGGTGTATCACTTTAATGGAATATTATTGTTTTTATCTAATTTAACTCAAAAAAATTAATTAAAATTAAGATAAACTACATGTTTAGTACTCCAATTATTATTTTAGTTCCGTTTTGACCATTTAATTATTTTTTTTAAAATCATATCTAACGTTTAATTTATGTTTCATTTTAGTCATTCATCATTAAAATTTTATTAGTGATTTTGACATAACATAATAAGATAATATCATGTTATCGTTGAAAAATAAAAATGTCACATCCCAAAATTATAAATTTTTTAATAAAGAATAACTAAAATGAAACCAAAATGTTAGATATAATTTTGAAAAAAAATAATTTAGTGATCAAAGTATAACAAAAAGTGATAGTTAGAACATAAATGTATAATTTACCTTAAAATTATAATAAAAATAATTATATTATAAAAATATTAAATAAATTAAAATTAAGCTAAATTATACCAGTGACTACCTAACTATAAACCCTTTTCATTTGACTACTATTTTTGAATTTTTGTCAAACAGGTCACTCAACTATTTAAATGCATTCAATCGAACTACTTGACGTTAACATTTAATGGGAGTGATGATGTAGCAGTTAATAAAATTAGTATAATTAAACATTTGATCCTCAATATTTGTATATTCTTTTAATTTGGTCATAATTTAAATTTAATTTAATAAATTTTAAAGTGAAAGATTAAAGAAAAAGAAAGTCTTCTCATTCAAACAATGATTGCAGAAGCTGAAACAAACTGCAGACAATCAAAACATCGTTCACTTCAAAGCTTCATTTCACAAACAACAAGCAATGAAATCAAATAAATTATTCAAAAAAAACATGGGATAATGTATTAAAGATAAATTAATGATCTCAAGTTTCATGTCAGCCCTGCGAAATCCTTGAAGCTTCCATGGCCGCATATATTTCATATGAAAGGTTTCTATAGTTTTACCTTAATTTTGTTTTTTAATGGCCAAGCATTAAAAGAGAATATTTTTACCCGATTGAATTGGGAATTCCATCTTTACAAGATAATACACTGTCATGTTTGCTTCTCGGGGATCCATACAAATTGCGTTTCCCATTGTTGTCGGCATAGTCTTCCAATGACCGGAACAGGGAGTGGTGACTATTAGCGAAACCATCCTCGTTTCCTATGAGTTGAATGACCTGGAGACAGTCTGATTGAACTATGACTCCTCAAAAACCACGGTTCCAAGCAATATTAAGTCCAGTAAACATACCCCATAGCTCAGCTTAAAGAGGTGAGCAACAACACGTGAAGCGCGTGAAGCCAAGGATCCACTCTCCAGCGTTGTCATGGGTAACACCCCCGGTAGAGCTGAGCAAAGTATCATTCGAAACAGCTCCATCGGTGCTAATGTATACCCAACCAAAAGGTGGTCTTCCCCATTGTAGAGGCTGTGCAGTGGCTTGCGAGGCTGCAAGTCGCAGGGGAAAAGCAGATGAGAAGTGTCTCGCCCAATTTAGTGCCTTGAGAAAGGTGGCGTCCATGGAATTGCAGACATGAGTGAAAACAAACTCATTCCTGCGCTTCCAAAGCTGCCAAATCAAGGAGGTAAAGAAAAGATTCCAGGAGGCATTGACAGAATTTAAGCGGATATTATTGAGTAGCCAGTCGCTTAAATCCAGCAAAAAGAATGTGTCGCTTATCCAAAGGAAGGAGACGAAACAACTCTTTTGTTTCAGAACAATTGCGTAGAACATGCAGTGTGGAATCCTCGCTACCACAGAAAGGGCAGGTAGAGTCGGAAGTGAGCCTTTATCTTGAACGTTCGAGATTTGTCATGATACGCCGATGGAGAAGAGACCATATGAAAACATGAATACGCTGCGGAATTTGGAGTTGCCAGATGTACTTCTGGAACTAACTAGACCAAGAATGAGCCATTAAAGATTCATATGCTGAAGAGACAGACGATAAAGTTATGCCGAGGTCCCTATCTCCATATGCCACGATCGGGGTCACCATTATTAGTTGGGGGCATGATACCAACAACATCGTTAACACCTGACAGCAGAGGTGTTCAACAAGGAAGTAAGAAGGCCAGCATTCCACTCCCCATCACGGTTTACCAGGTCAGCAAGATTGCACTGTGGGATAACCTGAACCGAGCGACGTAAATGGTCGCGGAAAGCGCCTAGACTTGGAACCTAAATATCATCCCACATTTGAACAATGTCTTCGTTTCCAATAGACCAACCAATAATAATTACCCTAATTTTTTCTATACATATTTAGCCTTCAAAATGAAATTATACAATTTAATAAAATTTATTAATAAAAAATTAGAAGACACCATATTAAATACGGATGAAATTATTCCAATTCTCGCCGTTCTAAAAAATAGAGTTAAAATTATATTATTTCAATTCTCAATCATGCTCAATTTAATAAAAATTGTCAATTACAAATGATTATTCAAATACATCACACCTATATGATTACAAAATATTATTTGATGACTTTCTAAACATGACTTTATAGTTAGATATTTGCCTTGAAAATCGAATCTGTATTTTAAAGATGTAGCCCTTAAAAAACTAGGATAACTTGTATATCTGCTTATCCAACTCTTTGTATGATTCTATTTTTGGTCTTCAACTTTTTTTTTTAAATCATGTCTAGCATTAATGTGATATATACTTTAATGATGTAACAATATCTTATGTTAACACATCAATATCACCATAATTTTTTTAACAACATAATCAAAATGAAATTTTAACAATATTAAAAAAACGAGTGACCAAAACAAAATTGACAAATAGTTGGATGACTAAATATGCAGTTTACCCAAGAAACTATCCAGCATCGTTTGACATATGATACGTAGACGTTAAAAGTGCTTTGTTACGAGAAAGCAAATCAAAGCTTGATGTTATAAAATAGGGAAAACTCAAGTAAAAGAATCAATAAATAGTCAAAATAAATAATATTTATTCCTTCTATTTATGTAATTGATTAAAAAAAATAGGCAATAGAATCAGTTTTGATGTTGGCTAATGGAATAAAACACAGTTTTCACATGGTATACCTGTTGTTTACACCGAAGTAGAAAAATCATTGAAGGGGCAGGCAGTCTCCTCATCAAACAAACGCTTGCAACAAAACACATCTTTCAACTAGTTTGAGTTTTTTAACAACAAAATTTCTTTAGAACCAACACCTGACTATAAAGTATATCATTCACATTTCTTTTTGGAAATTACCACACCAAACAAAGAAGAAGATAATCGCTTACGAAGAATTACCCGCCGAAGAACTCATTATTTGGATCTGTCAAACACAGACAGGAAGTAATTAATATAATGTTATACATGAAATGAGATAAAGTTTTTAAAAAACGAAAATAAAATACCTTATTCACAAGTAAGTTTACTTGCTCTCTGTACATTTCCTTCAAGTCCACAATGTCAGCTCGGAGTTCCTCCAGCTGGAAAATGGAAACCACTTGAATGTAAGAACATTATTTATAACGACAATATCTTATGATAATCCCATTTTCCTATGGGGAAACCATAATCAGTCGGAAATACATTAACACGAGGATAGAAGATATTCGAAACACTATCACGATTCTGAACATTCATTTTTATCCTGATATTACTTCAGCAAAGCTCATATTGTCTCTGCTTAAGTAATAGAGTGATAACATTTAGTTAGCCAGAAAAGAGAGAGAATCCGAAATTAGAAACATATGTACCTCTTCATCCCGTTCACCCATTAGCTCCAGCGCAGCAGTGTGTCTCCGCCTCAAGGCTTCTAGCTCTGCCCGGATTCCTGGAACTGTGGCGGCTTCTGCCTTCAACTTTTCACACTACAGAAAATGTAGATAAGGTTAAAGGCAAGAAGACAGTAGAAAATGTCACTCCCATTTAGCTAGGTAGCACATGGAAAATTCACCTGTGCGGTAATTTTGACTAACTCCTCGGCTAAAGAGTCACGGATTGATTCCATGGAAGCCTGAAGTAAACATCAAATAAAGCTAGTTGATATAAGTTATTTAAACAGTACAGATACAATCCGCAACTTGAAATCAAGAAATATCCAGTATTCAGGAGCTCAAAGAAGAATAATGCATACCAAACGAGACATGTAGGAAGCAAGTTCACCCTCCTTCTGACGAAGGGCCGATTCAAACGCACTGGGTGTCATGCTTTTCATGTAGAGTGGACTTAAGGTTGCCTCTCCAATATTTCTCCTTTCGGATACACCATCAGATGAGTCCAAAGATGCTTGCAGAAAATAGCTTTCCTCCATACTTCCTAGGCTGCTAGCAGTAGAGAGTCTCCGGGACAAGCTTCCTGCACCAAAGTCACATAATAAGTAAAGAGCAGCATAAGATCGTCTACATCATAATAAGAAGCACTATACCGTTCTCCGAAATGGAATTACGCCTTGCAATTGGAGCTTGCTCAGATACAGCCGTAGAATGCACATGCACTGTCTTTTCCAAGTCTAACCGAGCAGCTTTCTCCCTTTCTACTTCCTGTGACAATGAAAAGATTCATTCAGTAAATGGAACCATGAGATCAGATCTAAATACTAAAAAATCCGTTAAAATGGTTCCTATGTTCATATAGGTGTAAGAAACTCTTAAAAGAATGCCTTATCTACTTCAGCAGATAACTTGAGAGAATTTTCCGACTACTAAGTTATATATGCAACTTTTCTGTAATCATGTGAAGAATAAAAAAAGAAATTCTTGTTCATCAAAGTTAAAGAAAAAAACATTTTCAAATGACGATAGTTTTATTAGAAGCTATATGTGCAAAGAGATAGTAATTTTAACCTAACAATAGATCAAAAGCAAAACCTGCTGTAGACGTTCCCGGTGCACAAGAGCATCTTGTAACTCTTGCTTATGTTTCCGTCTTAGTTCCCTAATTTGTTCCTCAAGCAGGTTTGCCCGACCTTCTTGCGTATCAGCTTCCTCCTTTGCTGCAAGGTATTCTTGTCTATTCTCAGCAGCTCTCTGCCTCTCTTTCTCAAGGGACTTGCTTATCTGTGTTTGTTCAGCTCTAAGACAAGAAATCTGAACCAAAGCAAAACAAAGGTTAAGATGATATCTAGAAATGTTTCTGCAAATGAAACATAACGTAGTCACAGATGAAGAACCTGAGCTTCAAGAACATTAATTCGCGATAAGGTTTGAGATAGGCGTTCATTCACAGATCGTTCTCTCTCTTCAGCAGCTGCAGCTTTTGCCTCTGCTTCCTGTAAATTCAATAGAATAGATAATTATGAGAATAACGCTCGCTATAAGATTCACATGAGATGTCATAACATGCAATAACATTATACACACCTGGAGACGAGAGTTTAGAGATCTCTCCACAGCAGCCCAAGCTTCTGCTCTTCTGGCAGTTGTTTCCTATTAGTAATAGAGCAACAATCAATATCCACACAAATATATGAAGAGCAACAGTCCTTGAAGATTCTTAAGAATGCATTAGAACCACAAATTTCACCTGCATGGCTTCAATCTGCCTTAAAAGAGGTCTAGTAGACTCAGGCACTTGTGCAATCAATTCCTCACACCGGCGTTCGCTTGCCTAGAAAACAAAATTCGAGCTGTGAACTACTAGAAACAAATTCCTGAAAGTAAAGGTACCAAGGAAAGATTTAATATCTACACAGGCCAGTACAAACTCAGTGCACCTGGTAACGTTTTTGAAGATCTTCGATGTCCCTGCGAAACATGTCTTCTTGATAAACAGCCTACATTGTTAGAAAATGACAATAACAACATGCTTTTCATTCATTAGCATGATAGAATCTGGAAACTCAACTAATACAATGCAATACCTGCTGCTCCTTTCTGCTTAAGGTTTGTCTCAACTCTTCAAGTGTCTGAACAAGCAGTGCTTCACGTTCTTCAGCCTCTCTTAATCGACTCTCCAGTTCAGTTCTAGCTTCATTGTTGGCACGGGCCTCTGCTAGTGCTTCAGCCTCCTTTGCAGCAAATAGAGCATTTGTATAAAAGTCTTTCTGAGCCGAAAGTTCTGCTTGGTGTTTTTCAATTGTTTCTTGTAGCAACTTCTCTGTAGCTGTTTTGTCCTTTTTTATGCTCTCTGCCTTGTTCTCTTCAACCTGAAAGTATAGCAAGGTGCATGACCATGAAGAAGTTGAAATAAATGACACAATTCTTTCTATGCAATTCAAACAAAAAATAAACCCAAAGTGACAACACTAAATATAATAAATTATCCCCCAGGTAGAGATGAGGAATTTCAAATTCCTGTGGGGTGATGGGTCAGAGAAGAGTCGTATACATTGGGTGAATTGGCAAACGGTTTGTAGCCCAATTGAATATGGAGGATTGGGAGTTTTGGATTTAAATCTAACTAATCGGGCTTTGTTGGGAAAATGGATATGGAAGTTTGCAAACGAAAAAGATTCCTTGTGGAAAATTTTGATCTGTAGCAAACACAATGAAGACAGACTGTCTATGTCAGTTAGTAGGGTGTATTCTCCCCATGACTCTTGGATATGGAAAGGAATTGTAAGCAGCTTCTTAAAGAATGATCCGACTGGAGAAAGTTTGAGATCTCATTCAAGGCTTCAAGTGGGGAATGGTAAGTCAATATCCTTTTTGGAATGATGTTTGGGTAGACAATTCCCCGTTGGAAATTCAATTTCCTAGAATTTTTGCATTGTCTTTAAATGAAACAGGGAAGGTGGTCGATTTTGGAAGTTATGATTCTAATAGCTGGTCTCGGAATATTCGAACTAGAAGAAATTTGTGTGACTGGGAATTGGAACAATGGTCATACAGTTATCCGAGGTAGTTGATGATTTCCTATCCTGGTTTGGGAATGGTGATGGGCTGTTTTCGGTGAGATCTTGCAGAAAGACTATTGATAAGGATCATCTTGAAAATCCTATTTGGAAAAATCATGTATGGTTGGGGTTGGTTCCTCCTAGAGTTGAAACATTTCTTTGGCAAGTAACTCATCAAAAATTGGCTGTGAAATCAGAGTTGAAGAAAAGAGGGGTTCCCTTATCTGATGGGGATCTTTGTCCGTTATGTATTCAGCATGAGGAGTCTGCCCAGCATTTGTTTATTCTCTGTTCAGTTACTACTGAGATTTGGAATAAGTTTTTCAGTTTTTGGGATATCTGTACAACTATGCCTTCTGATCTTCCATCCTTCATTAGTTCTTGGCCTGATTTAATGGCAAATTCTGTGATCTGGAAACTTATCCCGAGTGTGGTTCTTTGGTCTATTTGGAAACATAGGAATTCAATTGTTTTCGAGAAAAAAGTTCTTGACAAGTCTACTCTCTTCTTCATTATAAGATTTAGATTAGCTAAGTGGTTTCTTGCCAAGTTTCAACAAGTTTCGATCTCAGTTGACTTGTTAATGGCGGATCCTACTTTAGCTGATGGTGTTAAGTGCTCAAAGGTAAAGAGTAGAGCGGTACAAAAATGGCTTCCTCCTCCTGCGGATTTCTACAAATTCAATGTTGATGGTGCTGTCACGAAGGATAGGTTGGGTGGTGGCATTGGGGGAATTCTTACAGATTCAAATGGTTCCACTTTAACGTCGTTTTTAGAAAGTGTTGGATCTGGTCCTCCTCCATTGGCAGAATTGAAGGAAATTAGGAAAGCAACTGAAATTTTCTTTTCCTCGGTTTGGTCTAATAAAGGAAGATTGATTCCGGAAACTGGCTGCAAAACAGCTGTTGATTGGATACACTCGCCTTCTTCTGCACCTGTGTATTTTTTTTTTTGATAGGAATAGGAGGTCTCATTAAAAACCTCCCTCATAATTGCCTCTTGAGAAGAGGCAACTAGCGGAAGGAGGAAAAGAGTACCTCAATATAATAATAAACCAGAATTACATACAACTATAATTTACAACCTCACCCGAAATAAAATACCAAACATAACCACTAACACTAAGGACATTCAACCTATCCACTCCTTAGCTAACTTGTCTGCCTCCCAATTACAAGCCCTAGGAATCAGCCTAACCATAATATCCCTACCAAAAATTACATCCCCAATTTCCCGAACCAAAGAACTGAAGACCGAAGGAGCCTTAGGAGGCCTGAAAATCCAATCCACTGCAATTTTACAATCACTTTCGAGAATAAGTCTTCCCTTCAACGCCCAATCCGAATGTAGAAATAGATCAATTCCTTCTTTAATGGCTTTCAACTCAGCAAACAGAGGAGGACCAGGTCCGACAGGCTTAGAGAAATAGATCACGGTAGAGCCATTCGAATCTCTCAACAGACCTCCAATTCCACCCTGCAAACCATCACTTCTAACAGCCCCATCCACATTGAATTTATAAAAATCAGGTAGAGGTGGATACCAGCACAGATCCTTCTTCTTCTTGTGAAAATTGACCGCTAAACCATCTGCAAGCCTTGGATCTCCTATTAATAAATCTACCTGGATGTTAGCTTTAGGAAATTTAGCTAGGAACCATTTGGCCAACCTGAATCTGCAAATGAAGAACAGTGTAGAGCTCTCAAAATTCCATTTTTCAAACACCACTAAGTTCCTAGCCTTCCAAATCAACCACATAACAACACCCGGGGTGAAATTCCAAATAGAAGAAGAAGCCACCATGAACTAAGTAGAGACGGGGGATCTTTGGGCAGAACTGTATTAACCTCTCATAAATTGATGAACAAATTCTACAACTCCCAAGCAGCAGGACAAAACATAAATAAATGGTGAATTGTTTCCTCCTCCTTTTGGCATAAAGGACATAATAACTCTTCCAAAGGAACACCTCTTTTCTTCAATTCCACTCTAACAGCTAATTTTTGGTGAGATAATTGCCATAAAAATGTTTCAACTTTTGGGGGAGCCAATCCAGACCAAACCCATTTCTTCCACTGAAAATTTCCTCCAGAGATACGAATAAGAGCTGATCTACAGGCCTTTACTGAGAACAAACCATCTCCACTCCCTGACCAAGTTAGAAAATCCTCAACAGCATCAGTCAAAACAATATTATCAATCATTCATTAGAGATATCCATTGATCCAATTCCCAATCGCATAAATTCCTCCTCAGACAAATATTCCAACTCCAACAATTAATATCATAACAACCAAAGTCCACAACTTTCCCCGTTTTGTTAATCGATAGAGCATAAATCCTAGGAAATTGTTCTTTTAAGGTGAAATTATTAGCCCAAATGTCATTCCAAAATTCGATTGATCTACCATTCCCCACTTGGATTTTGGAATTGGACCTCAAACAATTCCCAATATCGTCTTTTTTCTCATAATTATTCACAATTCCTCTCCATATCCATGAATCTTGCGGGTTAGCAGCCTTATTAATTAAAAGAGACAAATTACTAATATTGTGCTTGCAACAGATCATCTTCTTCCACTGAGAATGTTTATCATTTGCAAACTTCCAAACCCACTTCCCCAGAAGCACTCTATTCGCCATCGACAAATCCAGGACACCCAAACCACCCTCCTCGTACGGTTGGCACACAATTTTCCAATTCACCCAATGAATCCGCTTCTTCAAGGGATCGTCCCCCCAAAGGAATTTAGCCATCAGAGAATTCAGCTTTTGGTTAATCTTTAGAGGGATTTTGAAAATAGAGAGGAAGAAAATTGGCAAGGACGACAAAACATACTTCACTAACACTAATCTCCCTGCCATCGATAATGATTTTGCTTTCTAGCCCTCTAATTTGCTATTGAACTTCTGCAAAACTAGTTCCCACAACAGATCCGAATTTCTATAAGTACCTATCGGTAAACCAAGGTATGTCATAGGAAGAGCCCCCACATCACAACTTGCGATCGTAGCCCATTCCTTTATAACCTCCTCATCCATATTAACTCCAAATAACTTGCTCTTAGATAAATTAAGTTGGAGGCCTGACATTAAACCAAAGACCCTCAATACTCTCCTGATATTCATAATTTGGGCAGAAAAGTCCCTGCAGAAAAGTATTAAGTTATCTGCGAATTGTAGATGCGTCAAATGAAACTTATTTTCCGCCCTACCAACACTAAACCCTTCAAATAGAGCACAATCAGCAGCCTTAATCAACATTAGATTCAGTAATTCCCCAACAATATTGAACAGCATAGGAGACAAACTGCAGCCTTATCTCAACCCTTTCCCCATCTTGAATTCATTAGTCGGAGAACCATTGACAAGAATAGAAATTGAAGCAGAGGAGATGCACAAATCAATCCAAGAAATCCACCTATCTCCAAAACCTATAATTCTCAGAAGTCTCAATAAGATCGGCCATTCCACCGAATCATAAGCCCTTCGAAAGTCCACCTTGAAAACAACACCTTTCCTCTCTTTTTTCCTCCAATCATCAATAACTTCATTAGCCAAAAAGGCACAGTCCAGTAGTTGCCTTCTGGGAATGAAGGCGAACTGAGACGGACCAACCAGAACATTAATAACAGCCGCAAGCCTTCTAGCTAGGACTTTGGAAATTATTTTATACAGACTGCCAACTAAGCTTATCGGTCTGTAATCTTCTATACCTTCAGGATTTCTGATCTTTGGAATCAACGTTAGGAATGAATGATTGACCCCATGCTCCCAGCTCCTTCCATTATAAAAGTCTTCGACAAATTTCATAATATATGGCTTCAGAGATGGCCAAAATTTCTTAAAAAAACCCATGGTGAAACCGTTTGGCTCCGGTGCTTTGGCACTATCCGAGTGGAAAACTGCCTCGCACACTTCATGTTCTGAGAATCTAACTTCAAGAAGCTTCTTTTGATCATCTGACAATTTAGAAAAATTCAAATCGATTTTGTCCACCTCTAGGGTTGTTACCGAGTTAAAATTGTCCTTGAAATAATCAAAAACAAAGCCTCTCAACTGATCCGGGTCTGAAACAACATCCTCAGCTACCTTCAATGAAGAAATAGTGTTAAACCTATTCCTATTTAAAGCACACATGTGAAAAAACTGTGTTTCTATCCCCCTCAATACTCCATTTCACTCTTGACCTCTGTAACCAAATGCTCTCCTCCTTCCTATGCAAATTCCACAGCTCCTTCCTCGAAACAACCAGCAAGTCCCATTCTTGAAAAGAAGTCCCCTCTTCCTGTAGCTTCAATTCCAAACCA